AGCCTGATGTGGGGCTCAATCCCAGGACCCGGGGACCATGACCTGAACCGAAGGCAGACGCTTAACGATTGAGCCACCCAGGTGCCCGAAACATGACAACTTTTTGCTTACGACAATATGGATAGTTTTATTTCAAGTAATTCTTTCTTTTAGTTTTTATTTAAATTCCAGTTAGTTAACATACAGCGTAATATTAGTTTCTGGTGTACAATGTAGTGATTCATTGCTTCCATGCATCACCTGATGCTCATCACAAGTGCCCTCCTTAATCGCCATCACCTATATCACTCATCCCCCCACTCCCCTCCCCTCTGGTAACCATCAATTTGTTCTCTATAGTGAAAAGTCTGTTTCTTGGTTTGCCTTTCTCTCTCTGTGTGTGTATTATTCCCTTTTCTCATTCATTTTCTTTCTTAAATTCCACATATGCATGAAATCGATGATATTTATCTTTCTCTGACTTATTTTGCTTAGCATAATACTCTGGCTCCATCCACTTTGTTGCAAATGGTAAGATTTAATTACTTTTCATGGCTGAGTAATATTCCAGTGTGTGTGTGTGTGTGTGTGTGTGTGTGTGTGTATAACATCTCTTCTTTATCCATTCATCAATCAATGGATTCTTGGGCTGTTTCCATAATTTGGTTATTGTAGATAATACAGCTATAAATATCAGGGTTCATGTATCCCTTTGAGTTAGAAGTATTGGGTATTCTTTGGGTAAATACATAGTAGGGCCATTGCTGGATCATAGAGTAGTTCTATTTTTAACTTTTTGAGGAACCTCCATACTGTTATCCAGAGTGGCTGCACCAGTTTGCATTCCCACTAACAGTGCAAGCGGGTTCCCCTTTCTCTACATCCTTGCCGACGCCTGTTGTTTCCTGTGTTGTTGATTTTAGCCATTCTAACAGATGTGAGGGGATAGCTCATTGTAGTTTTGATTTGCATTTCCCTTGATGATAAATGATGTTGAGCATCTGTTCATGAGTCTGTTGGCTACCTGTATGTCTTCTTTGGAAAAATGTCTATTCATGTCTTGTGCCCATTTTTTAATTGGATTATTCATTTTTGGGGTGTTGAGTTTCATAAGTTCTTCATATATTTTGGATACTAACCCTTTATAGGATATGTCATTTGCAAATATCTTCTCCCATTCTTTAAGTTGCCTTTTAGTTTTGCTGACTGCAGAAGCTTTTTATTTTGATGTAGTCCTAATAGTTTATTTTTGCCTTTGTTCCTGTTTCCTCAGGAGACATATCTAGAAAGAAGTTGCTATGGCCCATGTCAAAGAGGTTGTTGGTCATGTTCTCTTCTAGGATTTTTGTGGTTTCAGGTTTCATATTTGGGCCTTTAATCCATTTTTTAATTTATTTTTGTGTATGGTGTGAGAAAGTGGTCCAGTTTCATTCGTTTGCATGTTGCTGTACAGTTTTCCCAACACCACTTGTTGAAGAGACTGTCTTTTTACCATTGAATATTCTTTCCTGCTTTGTTGAAGATAAATTGACCATATAATTGTGGATTCATTTCTGGGTTTTCTATTCCATTCTATTGATCTATGTGTCTATTTCTGTGCCAGCACTATAGTGTCTTGATCACTACAGCTTTGTAATATAACTTGAAGTCTGGAATTGTGATGTCTCCAGCTTTGCTTTGCTTTGCAAAGATTGCTTTGGTTATTTGAGGTCTTCTGCGGTTCCATATAAATTTTAGGATTGTTTGTTCTAGCTCTATGAAAAATGCTGTTAGTATTTTGATAAGGATTGCATTAAATGTGTAGATTTCTTTGGGTAGCATAGATATTTTAACAATATTTGTTCTTATGATCCATGATCATGGACTGTCTTTCCAATTTTTTTGTGTCATCTTCAATTTCTTTCATCAGTGTTTTATAGTTTTCAGAGTACAGGTCTTTCACCTCTTTGGTTATGTTTATTCCTAGGTATCTTATTATTTTAGGTGCAATTGTAAATGGGATTGATTCCTTATTTTCTCTTTCTGCTGAATTATTATTGGTGTATAGAAATGCAACATATTTCTGTACATTGATTTTGTATCTTGCAACTTTCCTGTATCAGTTCCAGCAGTTTTTTGGTGGAGTCTTTAGGGTTTTCTACATAGAGTATCATGTCATCTGAGAATGGTGAAATTTGACTTCTTCCTTGCTGATTTGAATGACTTTTATTTCTTTTTATTGTCTGATTGCTATGGCTAGGACTTCCAGTATTATGTTGAAAAAAAAAGTGGTGAGAGTGGACATCCTTGTCTTATTTCTGACTGTAGAGGAAAAGCTCTGTTTCCCCCCATTTAGGATGATATGAGCTGTGGGTTTTTCATAGATGGCCTTTATTATGTTGAGGTATGTTCCCTCTACACATACTTTGTTGAGGGTTTTTATCATGAATGAATATTGTACTTTGTCAAATGCTTTTTCTGCATCTATTGAAATGATCATATGATTCTTATCCTTTCTTTTATTAATGTGATGTATCACATTGATTGATTTGTGAATATTGAACCACCCGTGTAACCCAGGAATAAATCCCACTTGATTGTGGTGAATGATTTTTTTAATGTATTGTTGGATTAGGTTTGCTAGTATTTTATTGAGGATTTTTGTATCTGTGTTCATCAGAGATATTGGCCTGTAGTTCTCCTTTTTTTAGTGTCTTTATCTGGTTTTGGTATCAGGGTGATGCTGGCCTCATAAAATGAATCTGGAAGTTTTCCTTTTCTATTTTTTTGAAATAGTTTGAGAAGAATAGGCATTAACTCTTCTTTAAATGTTTGGTAGAATTCACCTATGAAGCCATCTGGTCCTGGACTTTTGTTTGTTGGGAGTTTTTGGATAGTGATTCAATGTCTTTCCTGGATATCTGTCTATTCAAATTTTCTATTTCTTCCTGTTTCAGTTTTGGTAGTTTATGTTTGTAGGAATTTATCCATTTCTTCTAGCTTGTCCAATTTGTAAGCATGCAATTTTTCATAATATTCTCTTCTAATTGTTTGTATTTCTGTAGAGTTGGTTGTTATTTCTCCTCTTTCATTTGTGACTTTGTTTATTTGGGTCCCCTCTCTTTTCTTTTTGATAAATCTGGCTAGAGGTTTATCAATTTTATTAATTTTTTCAAGGAACCAGCTCCTGGTTTCATTGATCTGTTCTATTGTTTCTTTAGTTTCTATATCATTTATTTCTGCTCTAATCTTTATTATTTCCTTCCTTCTGCTGGCTTTAGGCTTTATTTGTTGCTATTGTCCTAACTCCTTTAGGTATAAGGTTAGGTTGTTTATTTGAGATTTTTCTTGCTTCTTGAGGTAGGCGTGTATTGCTAATACGTCCCTCTTAGAACCTCTTTTGCTTATCCCAAAGGTTTGGGACCATTGTGTTTTCACTTTTATGGTTTTCCATGTATTTTGTTAAATTTCTTCTTTGATTTCATGGTTGGCTGATTCATTGTTAGGTTGCATGTTATTTAACCTCCATGTATTTGGGGTCTTTCCAGATTTTTTTCTTGTGGTTGACTTTTGGTTTCATAGCTACTTGAGATAATTCCTGGCCACAATAGAGTAATGTTGCATTCTTTACAGTTCAGCACCTTATAGCTCCACTAGTAATCTAAGAAGTATTCACATATACAAGTTTAGGAAGCATTATTGCTACTCACAATATGGTTGAATCTCATAAAATATTAAGTGAAGGAAGTAAAACAGAACACATTACAGTGTGTTATACTGTATACATTGTAGTCTATGTGTAATGTATGTAATGTATGTATACTGTATGATTCCATTTACACAATGAATCAAAATTGGCAAAACAGATCCATAGTGTTAAAAGTCAGACTAGTGGCTGCCCTTGAGAGAGAGAGGGCAGTGATTGCAAAAGGGCAGAAGAGGATTTCTGGAGGTCAAAAATGCTCCATTTCTTGAACTGGATGTTGGTTACATGGCTATTCTCTTGGTAAAAATTCATCAAGCTGTACACTTATGATTTGTGCAGTTTTCTTTGTATAAATAGTACTTCAAAAATGGTATACTGTAATTGTTCTCTGTGTACATGTATTCATTCACTTCATGCATTTTCAAATATCTTAACATTTTCTAAACTTAAACACTAACCGTGGTTGTTTTTATGAGCTTACAAAACTATACATAGTATACTATTATTTCAGTAGGCTTTAGAATTGTAAAGGACAGCTCCCAGATTTCACTTATCTATTATTCTCCCAGAATTTCCGTTGAATTTGGGGAGGAAATATTTTTATTATGGTTCTCGGATT